CAATACTGATGTCTTTCAGTGTGATTTAAATGAACGGGTTTGTTGAAGCGTAAATGTTTTCAGAAAAGTTCGATTTTCATATAGAATGGATTCAGATACCATTTTTTGGACAAATGAAATAGATTTCGCATTTACATTTTCAACATTTAAGCATTCACGAAGAATGGAGACTTGACGCACATGTTCAAAATGCGTTTTTTATAGCTCTATGAAATCCATTTTCCACTAAATATGCTTAACTGTTAACTTTGATATAAAGAATATCAAATGATAAGTCATTCAGTAAAATAAAATAATAGAATGTTTTGAAGATGACATTACTGAGAACATGATTTTAGAAAAATATAACTTTTCTGTGAATTTTGAAAATTGAGAATCATTTTGTCTCAGAGCGGGGGATTGTACACGCCTTATACGCCCTCTTTAAGACGACAGATTTTTTAAAAAAATGAATTTCATTGATTGAGATTGATGGGGGATAACTCTTCAAGAACGGATCAAGGTCAAATATTAGTACACGTTCCGCTCATACATATTTCGACTAAAACATGAAAATTATTGTACATGTACAGGGTGATCCAAAATATTTGATACTACTTTGACTTTCAATAACTTTGTCAATAATAGATCTGTATATTTTTATACATCATTTTAAACTGCTAATCCTATCCTTTTAATAAATATGAAAATTCGGGAAAACGTTGACGTCGTCATGACGTTATGACGTCATAAAACTTGTTTATTTTACATGGATATGTCAAATCAGAGAGCTGCAGAAATTGTCCAATTATATTTTGAGACACATTTATGCATAACAGTGATTCGTATCATGAGAAAAAGGTATCCATTGGGCACTAAGCTTACAAAACTGCAGGTCAATAGGTAGAAAAGATTTCAAAAGACTGGTTCAGTAGAAGATGTTCGTTTGAAAAACATTTGAAGGCCCCGGACAATCAGAACTGTTGAATCGGTTGCAGTTGTAAGCGAACTGATTACGGAAACGGCATAAAAGACAGTGAGAAGTGTTATGAAAAATCTAGGAAACATGCTCGGTTATGGAAGCGTGTATAGAACTTTACCGTATTACTTAATAACGTTTTCCTTGTACAGTGCCTATGATATATTTCCAACAAGATGGAGCAACCCCACACACATCAAAACAAGTTCTTGGATGGTTACAGAAATCATTCGGGAACCAGCTGATTTCGTTCAGGACGGACTATGTTTGGCCACCACATTCTTCTGATTTAAGTCCACATAATTTTTTTCTGTGGGGATTTTCAAAAGACAAGGTATATACTCCAAAGCCAAACACCCTTAAGGATCTGAAATCAGCAATTACCCGAGAAAATTTGAAAGTTACACCAGACATGTGCAGAAATGTGATCAATAACTTTAAGAAAAGACTTGAACTCGTGATTGAACAAAATAGAAGTCACGTAGAGCATGTGCCTTAAATAACAGCATTATTTTGAGATTATCATTATTTAAAAGAATGTGTATAAAATATGTGGCATGTACTGTATAAAATGTTATAACATAATGCTAAAATTTGAAATATTTAAATCAAGAGTTTCATGATATTTTAAAGAATTATCACTTGAAATGGTATCCGATATTTTGGATCACTGTACATATGAGTTTTCATCCAATATGTATCTGTATCCATTCAGATCCATTGAATCTGAGGCTATTATGGATTGGATACCTTAAGCGATAGTAAGGTGTCCGTCGTCCGTCTGTTCGCAAACATTTTTTTCTTCAAAATATAACTCTTGGCAAAATTTTGATCTGAACACAGGAGTTATCAATTTTACCGAAATTTTAAGTAAATTTGAAAAAAAAAACGTAATACGTATGATAATAACACAAGGGGTGCAACGCATTTTAGGTCACCGGGGAAAATCTCGCTTTATATTGAAGCAAATGTCATTATTTTAGGTATAACGTATTTTTTTTTATTTACTGAAAATTTCAATTAAATTGATAGGTAAGCGAACTTCTGTTGTCTGGTACCAATATAATTTGCTTGGCACATAAGTATACTACATTATATATGGATATATCGAATTTTTTTTTATGAAGGATATGGAGATAACGAACAGTATTTAACATCAAAGTCCATAGAATAATACAAAATAGGAGCAGAGCAAACACAGACCTCTAAAATATCAGAGATGGGATCAGGTGCCATAGAGGAGTGATCATCCCCTGCTGACTGGTCACACCCGCTGTGTGCTCCATTGGGAAATTACGGGAAAATCCGTCGTCAATTCAGTATATAAATAATGGACTAACAATAAGTACGAAAAACGTCAGTTGAAATGTGAAAATTTAATTCCTGTGTAGATTGTTACACGAGCTTTGATTGGCTACAAAGTTAGGTGTTAATTTACGTGCGCCCGACGTCAACCAGGGATAAATAAAGTGGCGTCACAATGCATTAGTTTTTCTATTATAATGAAACATGGAGATAACAAACAGTATTCAAGATCAAAAGTAAAAAAAATCAAAATAGAAGCAGAACAGACACGAGTTATTGGACTTATCCGGAATTGGTCAGGTCAACCGTTATGTTTTATGTTTGTAGTATGTAATAAAGAGGATTCTAGAAAGCACATGGCGACTTAGTAGTCGTGTTTTGTTTGTCTCAGTAAAAGACAATCGCAGAGGCTATTACATGGTGTCAGAAGTGAACACCGAAGCATGGAGGAGTTAAAACCTCCGTCGCAGCTGTTTTGAGGGGAACTTAGTGGAAAATTGGAAAGAATGGCTGCAAGGATTTCGCCTATACCTGATCGCGTCCGGAATCGACGAGAAAGCGGGCAAGGTAAAAGTTGCTACATTTCTACATGTTGCCGGCGTAGAAGCTAGACGAATCTACAACACATTTAATATTTCGCAAGATGATGTAGACAAGTTGGATGTAGTGATCAAATGCTTCCAGGACTACGTCGAACCACGTAAGAATTTGACTTATATACGTCATATATTTTTCACACGTAAACAAGAAGCGCATGAGACAATTGATAACTATGTCACAGACCTAAAAAACAAAGCATTACAGTGTGAATTTGGTGAATTGAAAGAATCGCTTATACGTGACAGAATTGTGTGTGGCATATCCAATGAAGCATGCAGGGCCAGACTTCTGCGAGAGTCGGATCTATCACTCGCCAAGTGCATGGACATATGCCGCGCAGCTGAACTATCAGCACTACAGCTGAAAACTTTACATCAAGAACCAATAGCAACCGCATCCGCTCATGCTGTATCTAAGAAACACAACCATAAACAACACAACAGTGGTGAAAAGCACAGAAAACAGCCAACGTCCAAAGTACAAACACAAACAAACCGTGTGGCAGATGTGGACGAGAGCATGAAAAAGGAAAATTTTGCATACAACAAAATCTGCTACAAGTGTAAGAGTTCAAATCATTATGCAAAATATTGCAAAACGGGATCAAAGTCGATCGTGCATTCTCTAGAGGAAAGGGAAGAAGACCTCTACCTTGGCATAGTGAATGTCGACAGTGTTCATGAGCTACCGTGGACAGAATCTGTTACCATCAACAATGTACCAATCACATTCAAACTGGATACGGGAGCTCAAGCTAACATAATACCGCGAGATGTGTTCAACACACTACAGATTTCTCCAAACCGCTTACGAAGTGTGAACGTGAACCTGATTACCTATAATGGTGATGTCATGAAACCAGAAGGAAAAGTTGACATCAAATGCCGTATTCGTAAAGTGGAACGTACACTTCCGTTTTACGTCACAGACAAAGGAAGCACTCCTATTCTTTCTAAAGACACCTGTGCTTGTCTGGGACTGATACAACACATACCAGCAGAGTCACTAGACAAGGAAGTGTGTATGTCAAAGGACAAACTAATCGAACAGTATGCAGATATATTTAGTGGTTTAGGAAAATTACCAGGAAAGCACCACATTGAAATAGACAAGAATGCAAAGCCAGTGGTTCACCCACCAAGAAAAGTACCTGCAGCATTACTTAAACCTGTTCAGGATGAATTGAAGCGAATGGAAGACTTGGGTGTGATAACGAAGCAAGATGGTCCAACAGATTGGGTCAACAGTATGGTGACAGTACGCAAACCAGGGAAAATTCGCATATGTGTGGATCCGAAAGATTTGAACTTGCACATTAAAAGAGAACATTATCACCTCGTGACAGTAGAAGAAATTATTGAACGACTGCCGAATGTCAAAAGTTTTCTCTAGATTTGACGCCACGCATGGCTTTTGGCACATACAGCTTGACGAAGAAAGTTCGAAAGCACTTACCTTCAACACACCATTCGGTAGATACCGTTATCTAAGACTTCCGTTCGGAATCTCCTCAGCTTCAGAAGTTTTCTCAAAGCGTCTACAAGAAATATTTTCAGACTTACCTGGTGTTGAGTGCTTAGTGGACGACATTCTGGTACATGGAGAAAATGATGCGGAACATGATGAAAATCTTTTCCGAATGCTGGAACGTTGTCGCAAAATAGGACTCAAGCTCAATAAGGACAAAATTGAGCTGAGAGTGCCTGAAGTTAAGTACGTTGGTCACGTCATTGGAAAAGACGGACTCAAGGTGGATCAGGAAAAGGTCCGTGCCATTGTTGAAATGCCGCAACCAACAGACGTTCAAGGTGTGCGCAGATTTCTTGGACTATTGCAGTATGTATCCAAATTCATTCCAAATCTGTCAGATGTTTCAGAACCACTCAGGATACTAACCAAAAATGATGTTGTGTGGCACTGGGAAAAGGAACAAGTCGACAGTTTTACTAGATTAAAGGAAATGCTCTGTCAAGCCCCTGTGCTGAAGATATACGACCTTGAGAAGGACGTCACGATTTCAGTTGATGCTAGCTGCAAAGGATTGGGTGCCGTATTACTACAAGATGGGAAGCCAGTCGCTTACGCCTCCCGAGCTCTCACTGAAACTCAACAGATGTATGCATAAATAGAACGCGAGATGCTGGCAGTTATATACGGATGCGAAAAGTTCCACCATTATATATATGGTCGTTCGTTTACCATAGAAACGGATCACAAACCATTACTAGCTATTCATCGCAAACCGTTATATCAAGCTACTCCAAGACTACAGAGAATGCCGATGCGTTTACAGCGCTATGATGCACAACTGAAATATGTACCTGGAAAAGAAATGTTCATTTCCGATGCTTTGAGTAGAGCATACTTAAAAGAGTGCAAAGAGACACTAGTAGATGAAGATATAGATGTGAACTTTATTGAACAAGAACTTCCGATGACAGAGGAAAAGCTTCAAGAACTGAAGGACGCCACAGTTGCCGATGAACAGTTCCAAACATTAGCAGACATTGTCAGGGTAGGATGGCCTGAGACTCGTGAACAAGTTCCAACTTGTGTCAAAGTGTTCTGGAACTACCGTGATGAGATAACTGTTCTGAATGGACTACTATATAAGGGACAAGCTGTTATGATACCATCATCACTGAAACGCCAGATGCTTACCAAACTAGATGAACCTCACCTTGGTATTGTAAAAACCAAGCAGAGAGCCAGAAACATTATATTTTGGCCGAACATTAACCTTGATATAGAGCAGTTAATTCAGTCCTGTGGAGTGTGCAATTCATTCCGAAAATCAAACACCAAACAACCTCTCATTCCACATGAAATACCAAGTACTCCATGGACAAAGGTTGGAGCGGATATATTCCATTTCAAGGGAAAAGATTTTCTACTACTGGTGGATTATTATTCGAAATACCCAGATATTATACCACTTTCAAATTTGAGAGCCCGATCTACTATTGCTGCGTGCAAAACAGTTTTTGCTAGGACTGGCATACCATTAGAACTATTTTCTGACAATGGGCCGCAATTCAGTTGTCATGAATTTAAGTGTTTTGCGTCCGATTGGGAATTCACCCACAGAACATCAAGCCCTCGTTATCCACGTTCGAATGGCCAGGCAGAGCGCTGTATCCAAACCGTTAAAAACTTACTCAAAAAGGCGGAAGAGAGCAACGGTGACCCAAATATTGCTCTTTTAGAGTACAGGAACACACCCATAGATGGGATTGGAAAATTACCTGCACAGCTGTTGATGAACAGAAGCCTTCGTTCCAAGATTCCCACAACCCGAGCATGGTTGGAGCCAAAACCCTTGGAATCACAACTTCCCAAACTTCAACTTCGTCAGATGAAACAGAAATATTTCCATGACCGTAATTGTTCAAAATTACCGCATGTTGAGGAGAAAGAGATCATCCGAATACAGAATCCAGAGAACCGGAATTGGGAGCCAGGAGTGATCCAACAGAACCTTGGAAACCGCTCATACAGTGTATTGAACCAACAAGGAAGAGCCTTACGGAGAAACCGCAGCCAGATATTGAAATCGCGGGAAACAACCTTCCAGATTTCACCCCCAGAAATTGAACCGCAATTGAGTGAATCTGTGCCGAATGAAAGTGAAAATTCTGGTAATGTGTCCGATGATAAAACCCCACATTCAAGTCAGGAAAATCCAGTTGCAAATATCCGACCCTCAGTTACCAAGTCAGGGAGAATCTCAAGGCCACCCGCATACCTATCTGATTACGTGAAATAACTTGATGTACCTGTGTTCGTGTGTTTTGTTTCATATGTGTTTATAAGAGTATCACATATTGAAATCATATTGATTGTAATTTACAAAGCATTATCTTGAACTGTTAATAGACTAAAAGTTAAATGTTGTAAAGAGGGGGGATGTGATGTTATATGAGTTATTGGACTTATCCGGAATTGGTCAGGTCAACCGTTATGTTTTATGTTTGTAGTATGTAATAAAGAGGATTCTAGAAAGCACATGGCGACTTAGTAGTCGTGTTTTGTTTGTCTCAGTAAAAGACAATCGCAGAGGCTATTACAACACGAACCTCCAAAACATCAGAGGTGGGATCAGGTGCATGAAGGAGCGAGTGTCCCCCGCAGACCGGCCATATTCGCCCCGCGCTCCATGTCATGATCGGGAAATAATGGGAAAATCGTCGTCAATTCAGTGTATAAATAATGGACTAACAATCAATATGCAAAACGTCAGTTAGCTTTTGACTCAAAAGTAAAACAGGAGGCCCACGGGCCTTATAGGTCACCTGAGTATTGTGCAACAACTTTCAATCAATTAAATTTGGTTCGTGTTTTAAACAAGAGGCCATAAAATTCGCAATTCACAATTTTGAAAGAGGCACCATTGCTTATCATAATTATAGACTTAGCATGCTTTCTCTATTTACTGAGTACCCAAAGGTAGATCAGAGTAACAAGGAGAAAATGCACTTCCACTTTATAACCAGTTTTGTGCACATCATCCCAAAGGAACCACTCACCTTGGGGCCACATATTTCAAAATTTTCATAAAGACATCTTCACTCACCATAAATGGTTGATTAATACCAAAGAGCAGATTTCAAAGTATTAATTTATTTTCAGAATATGTATCCCCCCCCCCAGTACCCTTGACCCGAGGGCCCTGAAATTAATTCATTTTGGAAGAGACACCTTTCTTCATCATAAATATGTACTTGGATCATTCGCATAATACCCAGGAGCAATGGTACGATTCTCAATGAATTGATGCTTTTTTACTATATAATCATTAGTGTCCCGCCCTATCACCTGAACCCCTCATCCAGGGGCCATGAAATTCACAAATTCGGAAGAGGCATCCTTCCTCATCACAACAATGTAATTGGTTAATACCCAGGAGTAGATAAGAAATTTTATCATAAAATGATTGAATAATACCAAAGAGCAGATTTCAAAGCATCAATTTATTTTCAGACTATGTAACACCCCCCCCCCCCCCCCCCCACTGACCCAGGAGGGGGGGGGGGCATAAAAAAAACCATTTTGCTAGATGCACCTTTCTTCATCATAAATATATATATTCTTGGATCATTGGCATAAAACCCAGGAACAAAGGTAAGATTTTCAAAGAATTAAAGTATTTTCACTATATAACCCCTGACCCTGGGGCCATAAAATTCACAATTTCGGAAGAGGCACTCTTGCTCAACTTAACTATGTACCTACATAGTTTATTTAATACCCAGAAGCAGAGAAGAAGATTTTCAAAGAAATAATGCATTTTCACTACGTAATCTATATAGCCCCGTCCTAACACCAGAACCCCTGACCCTGGGGCCATGAATTTCACAATTTTGGTAGAGGACTCAATGCTCATTACATTCATGCCAACAGTTTGCCTGCTTAATGTCAAGGAGTAAAGAAGAAGATTTTTAAAGATTGCAATAATTTGAGTGGTTTTTGCCCCACACCACAGGCCCCAGGGGGGGATCATAAAATTCACAATTTTTGTTCCCCTTCACGCATAGATGCTATATATCAAATTTGGTTGAAATTGGTGTAGTGGTTTCAGAGAAGCTGAAAATGTTCAAATGTTAACACAAGACGCACGACGACGGACGAAAACGGATAGTTACTCATGTGACTTTAAAAAATCAAAATGGTGGCAGAGCAAACACGGACCTCCAAAACATCAGAGGAGGGATCAGGTGCAGAAAGGAATTTCATCATCGAGTTCTCTACCAAAATTGTGAAATCCAATGCCCCAGGTTCAGGGGGTTACAGTGACAAAGCCGGGCTAAATAAATTATATTGTGAGAATGCATTACATCTATGGAAATTTTCTCTGCTCCTGAGCATTGAATAAATTAACCATGTAAATGTGAATTATGAACTTAGTCATGATGAGGAAGGATGTTTCTTCGAAAATGATTGATTTCAGGGCCCCTGGTCAGGGGTACCGGGGGGGGGGGGGTTACATAGTCTAAAATACTGTAGAAGTACTTTTTCCCGCGTGGTATTAATTTACGCTATGTAAGCGGTCACAAATTTTCCGCGGAAATTTGTAGAAGCGTACTTAATGTATAAATGTAAGGCATATAGTGACAGTATGAGAAATCCGCGTAATTTTCATCCCGCGGTTTAAACGGAAATTGATATTCCGCGGAATTATGACCCCGTGTAAAAAAGTACGTCTACAGTAAATCAATGTCTTGAAATCTGCTCTTTGGTACTAATCAACCATTTATGATGAAATAAAATTCATGATAAAATTTCCAACATTTTAAATATGTGGCCCCAACATCAGTGGTTCCTGTGGCGTGGGATGCACCACAAGTGGTCATTAGAAATGCATTTTCTCTTTGTTACTCTGATCTACCTCTGGGTATTAAATAACCAAAGTAAGCATGCTAAGTTTATAGTTATGATAAACAATGATGCTTCTTTCAAAATTGTGAATTTCATGGCCTTTGATTCAAATTTTTCTTTGATATCATTGACAGCTACTTTTTCAATATAAATGGAACCGTAAGTTTACTTACCTTGTCATTGACATTTTGCAAAATTATTTCGTTAGAACTATTCTGATTGTACACACAATTACTGTGAAGTTGACCTCAAAATGCTTGAGTGTCTGATTGACAATATCTTTGTCGTTTTTGTACACCAGGTCTTCCAACAATCTCTTGGAATCCCGTTTTAAGTAAACCTATTTCTGTACTCATATGAAGCAGAATTTGTGCAAAATCTGAAGCGTGAAAAGACGTAAACACTTGATCTCCATTTCATTGCTGTCTACTTGTGTGCAAAAATATATGTAGACGTCAGACAAAAAGTGTAAGAGGAGTAGCATTCTGAAAATTGTTTACAGACAGAGGGACGGACACATTATTATCGAATAAGCTCTTCTGGCTTCTGAGTTGTAGAGCTGACGTGAACTGATGAACGACCACTTTTGCTTCAAGGTCTTCTGATATCTCATTTGCATGTGACCAAATATATGAGATTAAACTACCTTCAAATGATGCCTGAAAGTATGTATCAAAATTGAGGTACTGCGGGAGTGAGCTCCTAAAGTAATACCCCTGCCTCCTATATGGTTATAATGGTCAAGTCCATGTTATGATTAGGGAGACCTGAAAATATGTGTCAGATCAAAAATAAAAATAGGAGTGTACAATTGTAATTACGTGTAAGATCTGTGAAAGTATCGATAAACTTTATTCATTGGTATAGGAGGATTTGCGGATAAGAGAAAGAATGACCGTGTCCAGGGTTTTTCTTCTTACGCTGGGAAACCCAAAGTATGATTAATTGATTGACTGTTTATTGTTTAACGTCCCTGTCAAGATGTTTTCTATCATATGGAGACGCACCACTTGCCGGTGAAGATCTAGAGCTGCAATTTTTTCCTTTACTCGGCACTCAGAGCCCTTGAGCAAGGAGGGATCTTTTTCTTTCCAGCACCAACTACAACACAGGACCTCGGTTAATACGGTCTCATCCGAAGGACCGGTCTCCACGTAAGGATCAACTCCTTAGTTCGCGACTCTAGAGCAGACTCTCTAACCACAAAAAGTAAAATAGGAGATCCACAATGGCACTGTTTAACAAAGATTCTTAAAAAAATTTCTTTCAATGGTAAAAAATAGGTACAGACAGACATCCCGATAACTATATACCCTCCCACTTTTCAAGCAGAGGGTATAAGATATTCTGAAGGATATAACTCGCTTCAGCTTCCCTGTCGCATTAAAAAAAAACAAAACAAATAGCATGTCATATGCTAACATAGGCAAAACCCTAGATGTTGAGTAACATTTTTATTCTGTCATTGTAATGTAAGAAGGTCGAAACTAGGATGTTTCTCGTTACAAGGCTAAATTGTAATTTGTTTTAAGCATCTATTTATGTATCTGTCTGTGTAGCAATTAGTTTCAACATTAAGTTGACAAGCTCCGTTGTCAAAGGACCAGAAATAAGACCACACGTCGAGTTTAAAGAAAAACATTTTGTATTGGTACTATTTGCTTATCATTACCACCAACGCCTCTTTGTATAAATTATTATGCAATATGTTAACAAGAAATAATTTTTTTTAAAAGAAATTACAAACGTGTTATTTTATAGTCTCTCTTCTTCAACAAGTAAAAATTAAGAAATATACAAGTATAATATCCATTTAGTGACCTTCGTAGATATTTAAAGTAGTAAGACATTCTCATCGCTATCATTTTCAGTTTTTCTTCATTATGCTCAAGAAAACAAATAGTATTATATTATCAACGTCTTAACAAATATAAACTCATATCAAGCGTCAGAACCTCTAGCCAAATCAAAATAATTCATATACTTTGTAAAAGAAAAAGTATTCTGTTCGTGAAAAAGTGATGTTGAATGAATGATCAATTCTAAGGAAAATGTTAAAGTTCAAGGTAGTTCTACATTCATGTAGTACACATCCTTGTGGCACATTGGTTAGAGGGTGTACTCAAGAGTTCTTCAGAAAGGAATCGATCCTTACGTCGCGGATTCAAATCTGTTTGCGGAATGTGAAAACTCAATTCTTGTGTAGCTTGTTACACGAGCTTTCATTGGCTACAAAGTTGGGTGTTAATTTCCGTGCGCCCCACTTGAACCAGGGTAAATAACGTGACATAACACAAACAGTGCATTAGTTTTTCTATTATAATGAAACATGGAGATAACAAACAGTATTCAAGATCAAAAGTAAAAAAACAATCAAAATAGGAGCAGAGC